CGCCTCCTGGACTGGGCGCTGCGCCAGGAGATCAGCACCTTCTACACGAGGGAGAAACTGCTGGAGACGCTGCGGGCCGCGGACCCTTACAGCGACCTGGTGAAGGAAGAGCTCAACATCATCCAGGGCGCCCTGGAGCTGCGCACCAAGGTGGTTGAGGAGGTGCTGACCCCCCTTGGGGACTGCTTCATGCTGCGCTCCGACGCTGTGCTTGACTTCGCCACTGTGTCCGAGATCCTCCGCAGTGGCTACACGCGCATCCCGGTGTATGAGGGCGACCAGAGGCACAACATTGTAGACATTCTGTTCGTCAAAGACTTGGCCTTTGTGGACCCGGACGACTGTACCCCGCTGCTCACAGTCACCCGCTTCTACAACCGGCCCCTGCATTGCGTCTTCAATGATACCCGACTGGACACGGTGCTGGAGGAGTTTAAGAAGGGTGAGCAGTGGTCTTTATCCTTCTATCCCCCTTCAAAGATACTGCCTTTCATAACCACGTGAGGCTTCAGGTACCCAAAGCAATACCTCTGATCTACCTACGGAGCCAGAAACTCCAGGAAGGCCTGCTATTGGCCCCCTAGATAGCTCATGATCGTCTGCTTCCCTTGCAGCTGGCTGAGCCCCACGCCTCTTCACTCTACTTGGCTCACCAGCTAAAGTATTCCTCATCCATTCTCTCCCACCCGTAATTCTTCCTGCGGTCTACCAGGCTCCAGGTATTGTGAGATTGAGCCCAGGAGAGCCTTGGGAATTTATTGCATACCTCCCCACCCACTACAGGGTTCCCTCGACAGAATCCCATAGCCTCCGCCTCAAACGCCTAGAGTTGGAAGCTCATCACTTCCAAAGAGAGTGAACGCCATTGCTGGACAGCTCCAGCTGCTGGCAGTGTCTTCCACATAGGGAACAGAAACCCAGGTCTCCAGAGCCTCCCAGGTCTTCAGAGCCTCCCAGTTCTGCCCTTTGAGTGAGGCAGAACAAACAAGGCCTCTTAGACATTCTTCTCCTCTGTAACTTAATAGCAGCCATTCATCTGACACACAAAATGGCGGCCAGGTTAGGGATTACCAGTTAGCTGGAGCAGTATTTCCAGGGGCTCTTGCTCCTCACAGTAGAGTAGCAGGGGGACTTAAAGAAATATTTCTTCAGAGTGAAGACCCCAGAAAACTTCCACCCAAATGAGTGGGTTTCTTTCAACACCATCACCATGTCCCCATCCCTACTACCCTGAAACACGGTACCATGGCAAGCTACATGATGGTTGACTTCATGTATGGGGTTTGTCTTTGGAGACTGCCTTCTGGGCCTACGTACAAATTCACTCAAGAAAAGTCAATTTGGATACTTTAGAGTTGGCCCCCTTGGCCTTGTGTTTGCCCTGCCCCTTGTTTACCAGATCTGCCCCTGGTTTTTGTTTTTTAATCCAATTTATTTACAGGGGTCACCATTGAGACTATTCAAAACACTGTCTTATGTTTCCCTGTCTCCCTCATAGCTGGCTGAGCCCCAGGCCTCTTCCACTCAGCTGAGCTCACAGGTTGCCATATTCTGATTCATTGTCTCCCACTTGTGCTTTTTCCCTGAGGCTTAACAAGACTTAAGTTTCTGCTGAAAGCAACTACAGTTAGTTTGAGAAAGTGTCTCATTGTCATGGCGTGCCAGAAGACATTTTTGAAAATACTTTTACTAATTCTCTGGTGATTTTATACAATATGATCATATTCACCATCATTCTTCCTCTTAACTCCTCCTGGATCCACCCCCTACTTACTCTCCCAATATCTTGTCTTCTTTTCCCCTTATCAACAAGAGTCCAGTCAACCTTCCAGAGGCTACATCCTGAAAAAAAAAAAAAACTGATTCTTCCTGCCCCCCAACCATCAATTGCCTGTGGCTCTTTGGTTTAAGATGGCGACCTTTCTGAACCCCAACCCCATCTAAGCTTGAGTGTGTTGACTGGCTTGATCTTGTGCAGGTCTTGCGCAGGCAACCACAGCTGCTGTGAACTGATGCATGCAGTGGTCCTGGCATGTCCAGGAGACACCATTTCACTCTAGTCCTCCCCAAACTCCTAGCTTTCACAGTATGGCTGCCCCCTCTTCTGTCCATGAACTTTAGGGCAGGTGACATAGATGCCCCATTTATGGCTGAGCAGTCCACTAATACTTATTCTCTGTGCTTTGACCAATTGTAAGTTTCTGTATCAACCACCCTCTATTGCACAAAGAAACTTCTCTGATAAGCTCTGAGGGCTATGCTAATCTATGGGTAGAGATACAAATTTAGAGGGCAGTTTGATATTAAGTTCATTTAGCAGAAGAATTAGTGGTAGGTTTTCTCTCCCCCACCAGGGCCTGTGAGCTCTCCAACCATGGGTTCTTGACCAGATTAATAGTACCAGACATGTTTCCTCCTGTGAAGCAGGCCTTAAGTCCAACCAGAAAGCAGTGTGTTACCCCACTAACATTCATGCCATTATTGAGGTCATGGGTATATCTTGCCGTAACAAGTCATTCTTTTGGTTCACAGTGTTCACAGCTGGGTCAGACTGTTGATGACTCTCTTCCCTCCAGCAATCTACATAGCACCTTCCACACTCTGAAAGGAACCTGCAAGGAAACCTCTTAGTCAGTACCAACTTGATTCCTCCATAACTTGAGACCAAAGTATATGGTGTCTTCAGCAATAGGATCATATCATCAAATGCTAAGGGGCAACCAGAGCAATGGTAGTAGCCTGTTATGTTTTGGGGAGGGCTCCAGGATACCTTTGAATAAAGACTCAAGGGGTGGTATCCCACTAGATGTGCTGGAATTTTTAGATTAGAAATGTTTTTAATGAGACTGTGATTTCTCTCATCCATCTGTTGATACACAGTTTTAGGTAACAGTGGAGGCAAGACTCCACTCAGGAAGTTAACTGTTTATGGAGTATATAATGTTAATAAGAGCTGTCTTAAGAAGCAAACTTTGTGTTCCAGAAAAAGTTGTTCAAAATAGTTGATATTGATTTAAAATGAGCCCATATGTAGAATTTCAAGGCTGGTCTGAAACAAGCTTGCTCATATTCTATTAATAGTCTGTTATTAGGTAGATCGTTAAAGAGAAGTGGGCCATGACAATAAGCACTAGGCCAACAAAGGTATTTCTGTCTTTTCAGAGCCTTGCCGCTTCCTTGGAATGCCATCCTTGAACCCAAGGCATTCATCTCACATGGGAGCTTATTGGCTATGCAGAATTTCATGCCCTACTATAAATTTCCTGGATGAAAGTCTGCATTTTAACAAGTCCTTGGGTGACTCGAGTTTATATTAAAATTGGAACGGAATTAAACACCCTCAGAGAACCCTTACTAACAATGCTTGGTAGACCTACTTTGGGTAGGAGACAAGGAATCATTAACAAGGAGGTTATATGCAGGCTTTAAGCCACAGAACAGTGGCCAACTTCTATGACTTATGCTTGCACCACATGTTAGGAGAAGCAAGCCAAGTTAAGTTGCTTTTCTTTATATTTAAAAACTTTTAAGCTAGTCTTTAATAGCTCTTCCATTCCACTCACTTCTTCGAATCTCAAGTAACTCAACCATCTAAACAAATCCCTTAGGAGGTGAAAGAGGAAAATGATTATATTAATAGGAGCAACAGTTGCCATTAATTGAGTGACAATTCTGCCAGGCACCACGCCAAGCCCTTTTTATATTCAGAACAGCCCTCCTGGGTAGGTATTATTAACTCCACTTTGAGGATGAAACAGCCAAAGCTTAGATCAATAGCGTGGCTTACTCAACTTCCTGTAGGTGATAACCAAACTATGATTGAAATAGGTTTGTAGATGCCCAGTGCCTGTTTGTCTGCCACCCTGACTCTGTTACTCTAATCTTGTCCCTCCAACCTGGAATTTCTGCTGCCTAGTGTGGTGGCAAAAACTGGCCTTTCTTTTTTCCTGACCGTGGCTTTGGTCTTTGTGGATTAGGAATGTATCTTTAGTAATTGTAACCACTGACATGTCTATTCCACGTTAGGATTCTACCTACCTTATCTGATTCTAGTTATATGAACCAACCCTAAAGACCCACATCATCACTGAGCCAGTGCAACCAAATTCAAATGTGGATCACATGACCCATGTAGGATACTACCCCTGAACTAATTGGCTGGTTGCAAGTCCTTAGGGATAGGGAGAAGGAAAATAGTCTTTCCAGTTGGATGCCAGCTTCACAAAGGGAATAGTATTTCTTCCCACAGGACTGAGTTCCTTGATGGTGGAGAATGAATCTTACCACTTTTCTCAGAACAAGCACAAAGACTACCATGTAATTATAAGTAAACATTGACTGAGTAAGTAGTCATAGGTCAATTTCCTATATCTGTGTTGGAGTGAAGGTGAACCCTAACAACAAAATAATTTGGGCTTGTCTACTGACCACTGCAAATATCTCTTCTTTTTCCTCCAGTAGAGACAGCATGGTCCCTGCAGTATGCTAAGGCAGTAACCTCTCCATTATTGCCATCCTTGTCATATTAACCTTTGTCTTGGTGTGTTCCTTGGGAGCTGCCATACCCAAATACTATAGACTGTGGTGATCTAAACAACAGAAATCCCTCTGCCCACTGTGCTAGATGGTAGAAGTCCCAGCTCAAGGTTCTGGCTGTCACAGTTCCTGGTGCAGGTTCTCTTCCTGGCTTGCATCTACCTGCCTCTTTCTGTGTCTGCACATGGCCTGTCCTTAGTGAGGTGTGAAGAGAGAGCAAGAGAATTCTGGACTCTCCTTAGGAAAATACTGATTATCAGCATCCAGATTCTTGAACCTACATGATTGAGCCCACTCTTTCTTCCATATAGAAGATGCGTTGATTTTATAAAACAAGTAATTACTTTGTGCCGAGGGTGTAGACATGGTGAAGAATGCTGCCAATGTGAGTCCTTGTCTATATGAGGGTTTTGAGTCCAATAGAAGAGATGGACGTTACACAAATAAGGCTGAGATTCACAGCAGAAACGTGGTGCCGGTACTGGCTTAGTATTGGTCTTGACCAAATTGCTTATCTATGTCTGTCTCATTAGCTGTACAATGGAGATGACAATAGTATTTGCTGAGAATATTAAGACCGTTACATTATCATGCTTATTTAGTACCCATCACAAGTGCTGTGTTAGCTGTGGTTACCTATTACTCATTTGTGAAAATGTCTCCTAAAAAGTTATGCTTCTTCAAATCATTGTTTCCCTACAGTCTTCCCTCTGTAGTGTCACTAAAATAACCTCTAGGTTTTCATCTTCTCTTTAAAACCCTTCAGCAGCCTCTTCCAGCCAGAGGGTACAGTCTAAGCAAAGATGGGATTGTGGATGCCCTGGCGACTGCTGGCCGACCACCTGTACAGCCCTAGGACTCCCCACTCTCTGCCACCTGTAAAGCCCTAGCACTCCCCACTCTCTG